TTAACGGTCAAATTGACAGCCACTTTATTGCGATTGGTGAGTATTTCAATTTTACACAAATTTGTTTCGTGGAATTTGAATTTAAACTTTAGCCAAAATTAAGAGTTAATTTTAACCACATATTTTATGAATCTCATAATTTTTTAATCATATATTTTATTAATTTCTAAAATTATTTATTAAAATTTCAATTTTACATCCCACCAAACGGGGCTTATAAAAAAGGTTAAACCCCAATTTTGAGGGTCCCACCGCTCCGCTTCTAGAACTTTGTGAGGGAGGTAAATCGTGAAATGTGTCCCAACAGATTACGGAATAAGAGATGCATGTATACTACGTCTAAAAAAGTCCAATTTTATGTCTCATGAATCGAACTCCCACACTTCGACTAAACGAGGCTTATAATTTAGGAGGATTTAGGGCTCAAGCAGTATCCTTTATTTGTCCATTTGTTTGATGTCACAGGCTCTATAATCAAGGATTTGATTTCCTTGGAAAGATCGTCTTGTGGGCCATACAAGGTAAATCATTGAATATGCCACAAACAAATCAGCGATAGTTGTGTCATTCATATGGCCTAAACAGATAGGATTAACAAGTGTCCATAATTTTGTGGTGTGACTCGTACACATTTTTGTTATGGCAATTAATAACTACTGAATCGCACAGAATCGTCAGTGGTGAAAATTGAATTGAGGCCCCCAAGTATTTTAATATGGCACATGAAAATGGGGAAACAAGATCTCGATAAAGATCTGCCATCCAATTTTATTGTTCAAATAATTATTTATCCAATAAATTATTGACATTTCATCAATTTGATTAATTAGTGGTAAAGTTTATAATGATGAATTGAGATGATATATTAATTATTGATGATATGTTAATAATTCATTGAATGGATTGTCATTTAAACAGCAAATCTCAACTTGAAAATGGAGATCCATTTCACTTTTAGTAACATGGTTATGACCAAGCATAACATTGCCTTAGGGAATTTTCTATATATCCTGCCCTCGTCAAAAATATGATTTTGTTTCGTGATTGTTTTTTGGATTATGATTTTATTTTATTTTTTGGTTCGTAATGATATTGAATTGTTTTCAGGAGTTTGTTTAGGTCTATTGACAGGTTGAACTAAGTTGGTCTATATATTGAATTGGACAATATGAGTAAAGAATAAAAGCTCAATAAAGATTATTGATTGCTTGACCAAATAGGTTAAAAGAGTTTCACTTTTAGACAAACTCAAAGAAACGAGATGTATAGTGGTCTAGATACAACCTATTAATACATTCATATTTGTATAATTATGGTGTAGTTCACTACATGTTTTTAGTATAAGTTCATTATATTAAGATTTGAGTTCCATCTTAATAAAGTCAACCTTATTAAGAGGAGTGGCCCTAGATCTATTTAAGTTGGTCAATATTTCGGTATTTAACCGATATGAGATTTATTCCCTTAACATGCCCCTGCAAGATGGTGACTCTTTTTTAGCAGACCAATCTTGAAATTCGTATGCTCATTTTTGAAACTTAATCGGATCGAATAGCTCGTTGAAATTTATTGGGCTCTGATACCATGTTAAAATTTGGGGTTCATCTTAATAAGGTCAAACTTATTAAGAGGAGTGGCCCAAAATCTATTTAAATTGGTCAATATTTCAATATTTAATCGATATGAGATTTATTTCCTTAACACATTACACACTAAAAAGCACGTGGCCAAACATTCAAATGGTTATCCAATCGTGTAAGTATAAGAATAGAACTCAAAGTCCTTCAAAATCAATTCCAACCTTCTTTGCAAACCTATCTTTCGAGTCTATTTGTTTGCTCACTTTTTTTTTTCCGCACATTATAACATATTAAATTTTAACTTTTTTTTCCCCTCGATCTAGTGTACAACCCGGCAAAGCAATCATGCCATTAATGATCAACAAGGTCAATATTTTATTGGACTTTTATTGGAACGTAATAAATACACACAGTTTTCACAGTGAATAGCAATTGCTTCGCATTGGTTATGAGCATTACTACGTCAACACTTTCCCAACAAGAACAAAGCATTTTTCATAATGCATGTTCTAACGGATAGAGTCGAATTTTTTGTTTCCAATTAATGTCCCTTTTCATAGTAATTACAATATACTTTCATAATACACTCACCATCTCAATTATTTTCTTTCTAATGAAATATCTCTGACATTCAAAAGTATGTTCACAGGTCCCCCCCCCCCCCCCCCCCCCCCTC